AAATAACATTTCTATTTTTTATCCACACCCGGGGATTGCGGATATGTTTTTCGTTTTTGGAGAAAGCCAAATTTGACTAAAGGCGCCTTGGTTTCCAAGAGTCAAAAAGCAATTTCTTTACCCAAGAAAAGCAACCAGAAAGTAAAAGTAAGAGCCATGGGAAAAGGCCTTTTGAGTCAGAAAAGCAATGGGAAAAGGATTATAATCACGTTCGTATTCCATGGGAGGTGGTGAATTATTGCAAGCATTAATAATGCAGGGGGGTCCAGTTGCGCGTGCATCAATAATGCAGGGAGTATTAATGCAGGGAGGTCCAGTTGCGCGTATGCTTTTTTGTCTTTCATAATGAAATCCACCCAATGCATTTCACCTACTTTTCAAAGAATATGACTATCCCTGCAATCACATGGAAAATGTATTGTACATATACTTGTTTAATTTTGAGAAAACTAATTAGACCTTCAGTTTTAGTTTTTTAAATTTATTAAAAGTTATTTTAAGGATTAATTTTAAAATTTTTAATAAAATTTTAAATTAATGAAAGAATAATTTACTTAAAATGAATTTACTTTTTAAAATTTCTCAAGCACCCTCATAATTTCCACTTATTTTCTTTTATATATTTTTTATGTAAATTTTTTATAATTATTTGCATAAAAAAGGAAATTAACAAGGTTATTCTCCACGGTTAGGAAAACCGTTCCTTAATTTCACTGCTTTCCTTCTCCGCTAAGCAGATTCAAATATAAAAAGCTATCTCCACGTGTTTTCTTTCACTGTCTTCTTGATCTTCATTGCTGCCTCACATATTTTCTAATGCAACCGATGAGATTCACCTTCAAATGGCTTCACCAATGGTTCGGTCCTCTTTTCCGTTTCCCAACATACTTTTCAGCCATTGATTTCATGTACTACTACAATTTATTAGTACCGCTTATCATCTAAATTTAAATTATTTTCTGCAGATTGCATCATGTTGGTAAGATCCACAACATATTCTACTATCTGCAATTTGTCTCTCAAACCTTGTAATTGAGGAAGCCCAAGTTCTAAACCAGCTGGTATATATATTTCAATCACTATGTGTTTTATTTCTTTTTTTTTTCACCTTGATTTTTTTCTTCTCTCAAAACCTTGATTTTATTGTAAGCTTTGCTAACTTCATCACTAAATCATTTAAGCTTAGTATATAGTATATTTTCTTTCTTTAAATTATAACCTTTCTCCTCATTCTCCTCCAAAGTAACAGGTTTTAATTAGAGGGCTTTTCTTTTCTAGTTTTTACTTTTATTGTATGTTCTTTGAAAATCTTTGAAGCAACTAAAAAATATATATCCGAGCAATTTGTGAAGAAGCCTTTTGCTAGATTTATCCTTATTAAAGTCATTCTTAGTCATTTGGAGAAAATTGTAATTATTGACTTTTTTAAATTAACTATATTTTACAATTGATTTTTGTCTCTTTTTTTAAATCTACATATGACAATATATCTTTTTTTTTCAGTTGGTAGTGTCTACTCCTACTGATTTCAAGGTCAACTCAGTCATAGCAAGCATATTTATTTCTCAATGTATCACATAAATGGATATGTTTGATTTTGTAAAGTTCTTTGATGCATTTCTCTATATAAATAAATCTATATATTATATCTTTGATGCATTTTTTTAGTTGGTAGTATCTACTTAATTATGTTTTGGCTTGATAATCAGATTCTCTATTTTTTTTTTCTCATTGTCGTTTATAGACCTAAGAGGTTTTAGGTATTTTAACCTAAAATTTCTCTAGATATGCAAGTTATTGCTTAAGTCAACTTTTGTTTCCTTTATTCCTTATCTTTTAGTTTGAAAATGAAATGAAATTCATATAAATAAATTCCCTTAAGAATTTAATTAAATTGAATTCTCATATTTATTTAAAAATTTTTAGCCTCTTTGCTGTAAAGTATAAATTAAAGTAGAATTAATTTCCTTTCTCTTTTGCAGATTGTATCATTTTTGGTTTTTCTATTCCATATTCTGCAACCTGCATTCTCAACCTTCTTCAAAAAGACTTGAATTGATCAGGAAACAATAGTTCCGTGCCCAGAAGGTATAAATTTTTTTACTCCCTCCATATTTTCTTCACATTCATGTGTGTATATATATATATAAAATAGGGATCAACTCATACATCAATTTTACTAATTTAATAAAATCTTATAAAAAAATTAAAAGATTCTATTTATTTTTAAAATAAAATGAAAATATTTTA